CACGCATGGTTTTCTCAATGTAAACTTCTATGGTAATTATCAAACCCCTCGTTCAAGGTATTAGGGAGAGGAATGTAGCTCATGGTTCGAGTGGTGCACTGCTTGAAGAAGTTTGAATTCCAACTATTTCTACTTTTATATGTATTTTTACTCTCAGTAGGTACAACTTGGTTGTCTGTAACGACTGTTGCTCTGCGGTTCGGGTATTGGACTTCATTGTGCACTTCGCGTTGTAGGGTGCTTGTTTCGATATTTGCCTTATAACCCACGTACAATGTTGAGGGATATAAAGGCTTTGTTGGCCGCACTAGCAAAACCTAAGAGAGAGTTTTGCCGTCCTGTACTGCAATCGTGATAGTAAAACTTCTTTCATGAGAGTTAGTCTCTCCGTGGATTAGTCTCGTTCATCTTGAACGAGGATACCACGTTAACATTGTGTGTCATTCTATTTCTGCACTTGTCAAGTTTTACATGGTATCAGAGCAATAAGATTCAGATCTTGAGTTTTCTTCATCATGACGGGGAAGAACGAGGAGCCTAGCGGCGGCAAGCAAAGCGACCCCTTGGTCGGCGAGGCTATTCCGATCAGCTCACCATTGTATCTTCACCCTTCTGAGAATCCGGCACAATTTTTTGGCTGTGATCTTCTTACCGACCTGAATTATGGTGAGTGGGTTAACGACATCACTGAAATCCTACTCGCGAAGAAAAAAATGGCCTTCGTCGATGGTTCACTCCCTTGTGCCCAGGCCGGCTCTCCTCGTCATCAGAAGGCGTGAGATCGCTGTGACGCCACGGTGAAGGGTTGGTTGAAGACCGCCATGATGCGTTAGGTAAGGAACAGCGTCCGCATGTCCACCACTGCTCGTGTGATTTGGGTTGACCTTCAGAAACGCTTTAGCAAGGGATCTGCTCAGCGGGCGTACGAAATTCGGCACACCCTTGGCGCTTTGCGTCAGGAGAAGCTTTATGTCTCAGCTTTCTACACCAAATTGCGGGCTCTGTGGGACGAGATGGATGTTGTTGGCGGTGTGCCGAGATGCACTTGCAGCGGGTGTACTTGTGGGGGGTGCCGTTGTGATTTGGTTGCTATGCTACAGACCAAAATGGATACCGAGCGCTTTTTTGAGTTTTTGATCGGCTTGGATGATGGATATTCAGTGGTGCGCTCCCAGATTCTTGGGACCAAACCCATCCCCACTCTCGGCGAGGCTTACCAGATTGTCGCCGCGGAGGAGCAGCATCACACCATCACCAATGGCCGCCGACCTGTCGTGGAGACCGCAGCCTTCCAGGCTAAGACCGACAAGGAGACCAAAGAGGAGGTTGACAAGCCTCGTTGCTCCCATTGCAATCGGCAGGGGCACACGCGCGAGACATGTTATCGTCTCGTCGGGTTCCCTCCTGGCCATCTGCGAGCTAAGCCGGGGGAAGATCGCACGAAACCCATGTCGCGTCGCTCACAAGCAGCACACGTGGAGCCTGACCCGGCGGACAGCAACCCCGTTCCTGTCTTGTCGATGACTATAGTCGGGCGACTTGGGTATACCTCATGAAATTCAAATCTGATGTTGAGCGTTACATTCGAATGCATTGCGAACTAGCTCACACCCAGTATGGTAAATCGGTTCGCCGCATCCAAGCTGATAATGGCCTTGAATTTCGAACTAACTCGCTCCGCCAGTACTATGAGGATCGAGGTATTATACTACAGACCTCTTGCACCGACACTCCCCAGCAGAACAGGGTGGTCGAGAGGAAACATCGTCACTTGTTGGAGACAGCTCGGGCGCTCATGTTCCACACAGGCTTACCGGTTCGCTTTTGGGGTGACTGTGTGGTCACGGCTGCATACCTCATAAATCGTTTACTTTCACTGGTGATTTCCCTGAAGACGCCATTCGAGATCCTCCTCGGTCGCTCTCCTACTTACTCACACTTGCGTAGCTTTGGGTGCCTCTCCTATGCCAAGGACACTCATCAAGCTCTCGACAAGTTTGGCGATAGAGGACGAGCAAGCATCTTCATTGGATACCCGGGTAACCAGAAGGGTTATCGCATTTTTGACCTGCAGACTAGCCGAGTAGTGGTTTCCCGGGACGTGCATTTCGTCAAGGATTCTTTTCCCTTCCAGAGAAGTCCACGGCCGCGCCACTTCCGTCCTTGCCCTCTATTGTTCCTTACTAGCTGCATGTGCATGATATTCACATGCAAAGCACGTGTGATCTTAATGGTCAGGGGGAGTTCTTGGATGCTGATGATGAGCCGGTGGACGCAGTTGGGACTCGACCAGCCGAATCTGTTGCCCCTGTTGCGCCTTCCTTATCTGAGCCGCAAGGAGATACCTCGCCTGCGTCGACCCCTGATGAGATGAATGTCGAGGAGATTCAGACTCCTGCCTCGCCCGCTCCTGCTCCACCCGTGCTACCACATCGCTATCCGGAACGAGCTAGACGCGCACCTGGTTACCTGGATCCTTACGAGGTACAACTTCCTAGTACCTCTTCTCATTCAGTCCTATCTCCTCTTTCTGATCATGTTAGCTATCATCGTTTTTTGGCTAACTATTGTGATTTTTTTACTGCTATGGTTGCGCATGTTGAGCCTCACCATTTCTCCCAAGCTGCTCAATATGAGCAATGGCGAGAGGCCATGCAACAGGAAATCAATGCACTTGAGTCTAATGGGATTTGGACACTTGAGCTTTTGCCGCCCAGAAAGAGAGCTATAGGCTCGAAGTGGGTGTACAAGATCAAGTATAAACCCGATGGGTCCGTTGAATGTTACAGAGCGCGTCTTGTAGCCAAGGGCTTTATGCAGTTGGAAGGCATTGATTTCCATGATACTTTCGCACCTATAGCGAAGTTAGTCACCGTTCGTGTCTTGCTTGCTGTTGCTGCTCAGCGTGGATGGCCTCTTCACCAGCTCGATGTGAACAATGTGTTTCTCCATGGTGACTTAGAGGAGGAAGTCTACATGAAGGTGCCTCAGGGATTTGCTAAACCAGGTGATCATCGTGTTTGTCGCCTTCGTAAATCTCCTTATGGTCTTCGTCAGGCTTCACGAAATTGGTACGCCAAGTTTACAGCTGCTCTCCTAGAGTTCGGGTTCACGGTGTCGCGTGCTGATCATTCTCTTTTTCTCTACGAGACTAGCAGAGTTTCTGTTATGGCTTTGATTTACGTTTATGATGTCGTGCTTACTGGTAACGACGATGAGTGCATTACTCGAGTGAAAGCCTTCCTGCATAATCGGTTTAGCATCAAGGATCTGGGGCCCCTTAAGTATTTCTTGGGTATTGAGGTTGCACGGTCTGCCGACGGGATTGTCTTATGCTAGCGCAAGTATGCTTTGGATATCTTGGCGGATTCGGGATTGGGTGCTGCTCGGCCTAGTAGCTTCCCCATGGAGCAGAACCACACCTTGACACAGTCGACCGATGATCTAGCTGATGATGTTAGCTCTTATCGCCTGCTAGTGGGGAATCTTCTGTATCTCACGATTACTCGACCTGATATTGCGTATGCGGTCAGTATATTGAGCCAGTTTGTGCATGCGCCTAGCCCTGATCATGTGGCCGCAGCTCACCATGTGGTTCGCTATCTCAAAAATTCTCCGGGACAGGGCCTCTTCCTGCCCTCGACAGGTTCCTTGACCTTTACTGCCTATAGTGATGCAGATTGGGCTGGTTGTCAGTCTACGCGTCGCTCCATGACAGGTTACTACATCCAGCTGGGTGGTGCTCCGATTTCCTGGCGGGCTAAGAAGCAGAAGGTGGTTGCTCACTCTTCAGCAGAGGCTGAGTACCGCGCCATGGCGAGTGCCACCAGTGAGGTTTTATGGCTGCGCTTACTTCTGAGTGAGCTTCGGGCACCGCAAACCGCACCGACTGTTCTCTACTGTGATAACCAGGCTGCTCTGCACATTGCAGCCAATCCTGTCTTCCATGAGCGCACTAAACATGTGGAGATGAGCTGCTATTTCGTCCAGGAGCGTGTTGTCTCTGGCGAGATCCAGTCACACAAAGTCCACACCAACTCACAACTAGCGGACATTTTCACCAAGGCACTTGGCACTGACAAGTTACTTATTCTTTTGTCCAAACTTGGCATTTGTGACCTTCATGCTCCAGCTTGAGGGAGAGTGTTGGACTTCATTGTGCACTTCGCGTTGTAGGGTGCTTGTTTTGATATTTTTCTTATAACCCACGAACAATGTTGAGGGATATAAAGGCTTTGTTGGCCGCACTAGCAAAGCCTAAGAGAGGGTTTTGCCGTCCTATACTGCAATCGTGATAGTGAAACTTCTTTCATGAGAGTTAGTCTCTCCGTAGATTAGTCTCCTTCATCTTGAACGAGGATACCACATTAACATTGTGTGTCATTCTATTTTCGCACTTATCAAGTTTTACATCGGGAAATTGGAGGATTTGACAATGCAAAAAAAGGAAAGCACACATAAACGACACACGATTTACGTGGTTCCCTAACACAATGTGTGTTAGCTAGTCCACAGGCAGGAGAGAGTCAATTTTACTATACTTCGAGAAGATACAGCGAGACCCTGTGACTTCCAGTCGTAGCCGCTGATAGTCTGATTCAAGTCGTATCAAAATTGTCCATTTAGTGACTAAAACAGCTCTTTCATCAACAATTTGACTATCTATCGATTATCGTGTTTGATTATGTGATGCTATATATTTATTTCTTTTACTCTACTACTATATAATCATTTCGGCTTAATTGCAAGTTTGGTCACTCGAATTGCTATAAAATTTCACGTTTGCCACTCAAATTAATTTATTCCATTTATAGTCACTCGAATTAGTTGAACAGTTCAAGTTCGGTCACTCTCCGTTAACCTCCGTTAACTTTGACTGACGTGGCGGTCAACTCTGACCGTTGACCGTTAAATGTGTGACGTGGCAAATAAAAAATAATTAAAAATAAAAATTAAATTTTAAGAAATTACACATCATTATCACACAAAAAATGTTTTGACTATCGCCGCAAAGGAGCGGCGGAATGGAGGGGCAGGGCGTCGGGGATTCGGAGGACGAAGTGCTCGTCGCAGACCATGACGTCGGAGTAGCCGCCGTAGGTTATGGTGCCGTCGGAGCTGAGGCCGGAATAGGTGAGGGTGTATTTGGGGCAGTAGTTTTCGAGGTCGTCGATGCAGTTGTCGCAGGAGCGGCACGAGGCGACGATGCAGCCGACGCCGACTCGGTCGCCGGAGTTGAATCTTGTGACTTGGCTGCCGACTTCGGTGACCTGGCCGACGATTTCGTGGCCGGGGACCAGTGGGTACGTGGAGGTACCCCATTCGTTCTTGATCATGTGGAGATCGGAGTGGCAGATACCGCAGTAGAGCACTTTGAACTTCACATCCGTCTCCCCTGTTGCTCTGGACGAATGAGGCAGAGAGATAAGCGCATAAATCAACAGAAAGAGAAAAGCAAATTCGAATTGGATATGGATCAGGATCAGGATTAACTAGATTGAACTGAGACGCACCTTCTGGATAATGATGTGTAATTTCTTAATATTTAATTTTTATTTTTTAATTATTTTTTATTTGCCACGTCACACATTTAACGGTCAACGGTCAGAGTTGACCGCCACGTCAGTCAAAGTTAACGGAGGTTAACGGAGAGTGACCGAACTTGAACTGTTCAACTAATTCGAGTGACTATAAATGGAATAAATTAATTTGAGTGGCAAACGTGAAATTTTATAGCAATTCGAGTGACCAAACTTGCAATTAAGCCTAATCATTTCATAGAGCCAAAATCGTTTACACACTTTAATTTCCAATAGATCATTTGTTTTTTCCTTCGGACATTTTTGTTTTGTGGAAAATTGCTCGTTTCAATTTTGTATTGGATGGCGTACGTGGAACCCACTTCCAATGGCAGAGGGAGTTAGGGGGCAGGCTGACGTGCCCCGCACCATATCCGATCTAATCTAAGAACAATATATAGAAGGGAACCTTGTTTTGTTCGTTCCATTGCACTCTCTCCTTTTTTGAAACCAAAGTACATTCTCGAGCGAGATTCCATTCCAATCACCAAATTATTTCACAAACCACTTTCTCCCGTTCTTCCACCCCAGTTGCTGGTTCATAATTTGATCAATCAAATGCAAGAGAATGAGATTTTTCTATAACTATTATCCATAACTATTAAGTAGCGGGGAATTATAGCCACAACTATCGAAATACAAATTATTAGCCATAACTATTGTTGTGGGTCAAGATTTGGCTAACAGCCCGTTACTGTTTTCAAATTTTTAACGTAGAAGGCCATGTCAACATCGTAAAAAATATGATATGATGACTGCCACGGGGGAGCCAGCTCACCATCGTAAAAGCTTAGTCATCATTACTAACAGAAGTGTTAACGAAAACTTAACGATTGGCTAATAATTTGTATTTCGATAGTTGTGGCTATGATTCCCCGCTGCTTAATAGTTATGGCTAATATATTGTATTTTCCCAAAAAATTACAAAAATAGCACCCTATCGAAAAAATTTACACTAATAGCACCTTTTTTTATGGACCGCACCTCCAAGGTGCGTTTTATATATAAACCGCACCCTCAGGGTGCGTTTTATACATAAACCGTACCTCTAAGGTGCGGTTTATAATCCTGGACCAAAATCGCATCTTGGCCAAGCGGTTTCAGGTCTGACCTACAGAAACCGTGTGGCCGAGGTGCGGTTTTGGCCTGACCTAGCAAAACCGCACCATGGAGATTCGGTTTGTTTCTCCAAAACGAAATCGCATCCCCAAGGTGCGGTTTTGCCACACAAACCGCACCACCAAGGTGCGGTTTTGGTCAATTAATTTCTGACATGCCATGCAGAATAACAGACGTGGGTCTGCATGGGTCTGAGGTGCGGTTTTCATCAGTGATTTTAAGACTTCCCGGAAAACCACTTCTCTTCACACCTCTCCTTCTCCCTTTTCAATTTTCTGTTGTAGCTCTATATTTCTTTAGTAGTTTTGCGATTAACGTTAACTCGTAAGTTTATTTTGTATTAGTTTTTATTATTATTTTTAATTTTTGATTTTTATGATATTAACTGAACTACGGTTTTTTTGGAGATGGCATTCCAAAAGTTCACGCTTGGCTTACGGTGGAATGGTTACACGAAAGAGATCGGAAAGGGGTCACCTACGTCGATGGCAATTTTCAGAAGATAAAGGTGGCTACCAGACCGCTGCTTGAAGACCTCCATCAAATGTGCACTAACGTTACTTGCATGGATGGCACGAGAAGAGTTGATCGTATGGTGTACCGATATCCAAACAGAGAAAGTGGGTCATTGTGGCATGAGGAATATCTCATAACCACTCAGGATGAGGTAGATGCCATGCTCGAATTCTTAAGGTCCAACAATCTTTCCAAAGCCGAGATGTTCGTTTACACCGAGCCGGTCGTAGGCGTTGGAGGTCATTCTGGACACGGTCAAACATCTGGTATCCATGGTGGAGGTGAATTATATGGCGATCATCCCTACCAAAGTTACCATGATCTTCATTCCTATTTTCAGTACCAAGAGCAAGGTGAAGGTCATCATCAATCTTTCCCGTCATATGAAGAAGAAGTTCAACCGGACCTCCCCAACCAACCTTAGTACAACTTCCAATCAGGCAGCGGTAGTTTTCACAACTACCATTATGGAGCTGATGAAGGTTCCTTTCATGAGCTGCCAGCACTAGTCAGTGACCCCTCCGATGAAGAAGGAGAGAACAACGTCAGTGCAGAAAGCTCCGACCCTCTTGAAGGTGCTGATGATTCAGGACCAGAGTCAGACTCAACTAATGATGATGAGGTGGCTCGTGACCGTGTACCAGTCCCCTATTACAATCACATTCCATACGACAATTGGATGGTTGACAGCGACATGGAGCCACCAGAGGTCCCAATATGGGGTCCACTCACTCGGTTTATGAAGGGCCAACGCTGCGCAAACCGCTCCTCCTCGCTGCGTTCCTGCCCGCTAGATCGCCACACGATCCTGCGGTCTGCAAGGCCGTTGCCCACCAAACACAGACCGCACCTTGGAGGTGCGGTTCCCAGTCTAACGTGGCGCAAAACGCTCCTCCAAGGTGCGGTTTATATATAAAACGCACCTTGGAGGTGCAGTCCATAAAAAAGGATAGTATTAGTGTAAATTTTTTCGACAGGGTGCTATTTTTGTAATTTTTTTAATAGGTGCTATTATTGGAAAAATCCCCAAGAGAATTCATCACATAATAATAATACAGCTCAAGGGTGATTTTATTACCTCTTCAGTGTTCCATGAATTTCTCTCGATAACAGCTGAAAACATATCCCTACATCATTGATGATAGGAGGATCCAAGTCTTGGTTGCTTACACTATTCATTTGCTCCAATCCCCGTCACATCAACATCTCATGCTACAAAGCTATGCAATCAAGTCTCTCGTTTTATCTGTTAGTAAATGGTACATTATCCATAATTGAATCTCTACAAATAATTCAAATGATTGAATTGCATTATAGAGGTTGTAGACTCCTCTTGTTAGAAAGGTTTGTGAGTCCTAATCTATCGTGGGTTTTTTCCCCTTATTTATCGTGGTTCTTTGAAAATAGTTCTAACAATTTTCAAAATAGCATCTTCCACTGAGAAGTAAGAACTTGAACCGGGAAACAAGAAGGTAATATGCCCTTTATTGTTTCTATCATCTATCTATCTGGGCTCTCTCACCTAGGGGCTAGGGCTGGGAAAATAGACCAGAATGTTAGAAAAATCGTGGTCCAAACTGTACCGCACAGTTTGGTCCGGACCGTAGACCGTTAAGTATGATCTGGTCTGGTCCATGATCTGTATTATTTTATGTATTGATCTCTTGGTCCGGTCTGGTCTAGACCGCGGTTTCTTGGACCAAACCGTGGACCCAACCGACTTGTCAATACGTATTAACAGCCCATTCGACCACTCTCACAACTCCCACAACGACACCCAAGTCTCAACCTTAGTTTTGTGAATCTCGTCCCTCCTTAATTCACAACCACATTTAACCAGAGGAGTAGAGATAATTGTGTCTCCATATGACATTATGTTAATGTTTATGACGTTATAGTGCAAGTTGGGATGCTTTTACTTTGTATTTTTGTTATGTACTAAGATTTAGGGTATCAAAATTATTCATGCATGTTAGGATTAATATGTTAAGGCAAATAACAATTATTTTTCTTGTTTATTGGTTCAATTTTTTGTGTGGTTGACTAAACAAATTATATTCATTTTTGACATTTTTCCAATAATAGCACCTTTAAAAAAAAAATTACAAAACTAGCACCCTGTCAAAAATATTTACAAAACTAGCACCCTTTTATATTGACCGCACCCTCCAGGTGCGATTTACACATAAACCGCATCCCCCAGGTGCGTTTTACACATAAATCGCACCTTGAGAGTGCGATCTAATTTGGTGGGCCTAAATCGCACCTTGCCCATGCGTTTTCATGTCTGGCCTACATGAAACGCATGGCCGAGGTGCGGTTTAGGCCTGACCTACCTAAACCGCACCTTAGTGATGCGATTTATGTCTCCAAACATGAACCGCATCCGCAAGGTGCGATTTCACCAGGTAGATCGCACCCCCCAGGTGCGGTTTACGTGTCAATTATTTACCGACACCATGCAGAGAATTATGTACGTAGGGTTGCATGGCAGACTAAAACCGCACCCTAGAGGTGCGGTTTTCACAATTTTTTCCCCTATATAAGACTTGCCGGAAAACAGACTCTTCACACCTCTCATTCTCCCTCGCATTCTCTTTCATTTTTCTGTTGTATATCTATATTTATTTAGTGTGTTTGCCATTAAGATTAACTCGTAAGTTTATTTTGTGTTACTTTTTATGCCATTAACTCGTAAGTTTATTTTGTGTTACTTTTTATGCCATTAACATTAACTCGTAACTTTATTTTGTGTGACTTTTTATGCCATTAACATTAACTCGTAACTTTAATTTGTGTTACTTTTTATTGCATTAACATTAACTCGTAAGTTTATTTTGTGTTACTTTTTATTGTTATTTGTGATTTGTGATTTTTATGATATTAACTAAAACTATGGTTTGTTTGTGTGCAGATGGCATTCCGTCAGTTGTTGCTTGGCTTACGGTGGAATGGTTACACGGAAGACACCGGAAAGGGGGCCACCTACGTCGGTGGCAATTTTCAGAAAGTAACGGTCGGTACCAGACCGAAGCTTGAAGACCTCCATCGAATATGCACTGACGTTACTTGCATGGATGGCACGAGGAGGGTAGATCGTATGGTGTACCGATACCCAAACA